GTTCGTTGATTCGATCTAGAACTTCTGGAGCTGGCGGCGCAGGTGCACCCCAAAAGCACTGCACCAACAGCAAAAGAGCTGGCAAAGCAATCCCATTCAACAACATGGCGCAAACAAATTGACACTGCGTTTGTTGAGACCTGGGTCAAATGAACTCAGTCAGAATGTTTCAAGCTTCATCGCTGACTGACTGCTTGTGATAGTTAGTCATTGTTTTTTCCGCAAAATAGTTTCAGTCCCAAGCTTTTCTACAAGCCCATTCAAAGTCAAGCCCGATCAAAACAAGGTGTAGGTAAGAGGAAGGCTATTGAGTTTGCACATACACTGTGGAACCAGGAAACCCGTAAAAGATAATGAACCGTATTGGAGAGTGTGCTTCAAATTTAGTTTTGGACGATGGAATTCGGAAATCCCGGTGAAAATGCCCTTGTGATTTGAGCCATATCCCTGCCAGCAGCAACTCAGGTTTTGCTTCCTTGCTGTCGATGACTTCAGCGCCAGATTTGGTTGACTCGGCAGCATGCTATGGCTGAGGATGGTTGGTCATATTTTGTTGGTCACCAGAGAATAACATTGGGTTTCCTCAAGCAACCTGCCATCATCTAGCCAGCTTAGCTAATCCGCTGTGGTTCGGAAACTGCGACTCTGTTTCACTGGGGGCCACGCCTCCATAGTGGAAATCACCGTCATAAGCGGAAATGGCCTGGCGTGGAGAGTGGACAAGCAGTCAGAACTGCCATTTGATCGAATGAGTGAGTTACACATGTCAAAGACTCGGACTCCATCTCAGTCAGTGCCTATATGTCCTATTATACATAAATAAAGACTGCACATTTAGTAATTTTTCTACTTTAACCAAATTTGAAGAGAGTGTGCAACGCAAGAAGATCTAATTTTGATTTGCTTTGACCGTGACCCAGACTTGCTCAAAGGCTGTCTTTACCTTGAAGTTGTTTAGCTTTTTTGCTTGACAATGCCGTCACGAAGGGGTAAGCGCGAGATCAATCAGGGTAGCGCTGCGGCTAGCGGAGTTGCCAAGAAGCCTCGCGGAATTCCTCAGGGTGTGGCAAGTGGTGACATGCCTCCAGACCAGGCGATGGCAGAGAAGCTGGAAGCACAAGATTGGTATCAGCCATTGAAAGACATGATGTCTGCCATTCTTGTGGAGAAAGGTTCGCCGACGGAGGCTTTGAATGCCTTAGTGCCAGACAAAGTGGAATGGAAGCGTTCATCAGAGAACATTTCCCTCCACTTCATAGTTCCCGCTGCCTGGTCAACTACCTGGAGGACTTCAGCTCACCAGGCATTTTCTGCTTTGAGCTTTGGCAAGCAAATTGGGAGGCAGGAGCTGGCCTCGCAGGACACGTACTTCATGAGAAATTCTTGAACTTGACCCAGTTGATCATGTGCAACGGGTTTCTTTCGAACCCATCGGAGGGAATGCAGCTTGTTTTGATCAAGCCAGCCAACACTGAGCTTGTGTTGCCACTGGAAAGTGAGTCCATGGGTGTAGGTGCCATTGGGTTCATCAAAGGATGGCGCCGTTGTTTAGCAGCCTCTTTCTTGGTGGCATGCTTACGATCGCAAGGTCTCGTCGAGAAGTACAAGGATATAGCAACCGAGAAGAGTGTGGAGTCATTCTGCGCCATCTACGGGAAGCTGATGGACATTGATGGCCACCAAGCCATTGAACTTCACAGAGGTTGGTTTCTCAAACAAAAGGGGTTAGCAGCTAGGGCACTCGGACTAAGGTCCAATTTGCTTAGGGGGCAACTCAGTCGTGATAATATATTACTCAGTCATAGATGAGCATTTAGTTTCAGTATGTTAATCATTATTAAATAACAGTATGTTAAGTAAACTGTGTAGTCTTGACCAAGTCGGACCTTGAAACTGTAGTCACTCTAGAGTGCTCGCAACCCTGCCAGCAACCACCATGAAGACCATCAGCACGGTGTATCGCCCGAATGCCTTCAACAATTTGCACATGCTCAAATGCAAGCTGGAGCTGAGTCCAGATCTCAACGCAAGTGAGTGGCTGGACTCGATTGGAAAAGGGGCATTGAAACAGCTCTATGGGTTCAGCAAAGCTGAGGCTGATGCCACCATCACAATTTTCCGTCACCTCACACCCCCTGTGGTGGATCTGCTGTCAAAAGCAGCAGCGCGTTACGGAATGACACGAGGGCCTTTTTCCCATCAGTCTTTGAGTGCACCGGCTCTTCGGTTGAACTATGAGCCTGACACCAACGACGGCATGGTGAAAGAGTGGGACATGCGCAATCGAGAGTCAACATTGATGTTGATGGTCCAGAGGCTCATCCATGACTGGGAGGAAACACCCAGCCAGGTGCGCAAGAGCGCATCAGTTGATAGCATTGCAGAGCTTCAGAAGATTTGCAGAGCTTTTGAAATCATCAGTGCTCAATTCCAGTCTATGTTGCCCTCTGCCATTGTTGAGGACTCAATGAAGACCATCAATGAGTCATTCCATCGGTGGGCCTATGATGATACTTTGGCACTTTTGGCGGAGACACGTCCTGTCCCTCTGGATCCTACTAGCATCGGGGAGATGGCCTTGATATTGGAACGGCATCAACAGGAGATGGCCAACGCACAGCTGAAGCGGCGAAAAGAGCTCAAGGCTCAGCTCGATGTGGCCACCTACGATTCACTGAACAATGATCTGGCAACCGATGCTAGCAAGCTCATGAACTACTACAAAGAATTCAATGCAGTGAAAGATTCTTGGGCTCAGCGGGTTCTGAACCACAAACGGCTCAGACACCAGAAGGGTCTGAAGTTCATCAAGGAGTTGATGGATGGGCAGTGCCGCATTGTTGCAACGGCTGATCTCTCCAACCTGTTCCCTGAGTTTGTTGACATGAAACAGGCTCTTTGCAAGCGGGAGCCAACATTGACAGGCAAAACGCTACTGGACAGCACAAAAAGAAGAGTTTTCTATAATTCAAGGTTATCTTGTTGATGGTTTGGGAGAGGGGTAGAAAAAATAGAAGTTTCTTGAAGGGTTATGCTTATTCACTGATGGTTCTTGGCCTGAGGTTGCTGTTGTGTGTGCTGGATTTTGGGCAAACCCCTTCTGCGGACGTCATGGAGACGATGATCAAAACAGCGAGCCTTTTTTGCCATCAGTCAGAGGATCATGCGGCTTTGGTGGTGTACCCTGCTCTGATAGCCAGCCAGGCCACCCACGCACATTTGAAGGCATGCCGGCAACTGGAGGACAGCCTTCTGAAGTATGCTTTGGACCCAAGGCAAGACATCAGTGTGCACTTCAGCATGAGTGAGAGACATGCCAGTGATACCCGACCGCTGTACAGCAAAATGAAGCTGTGCTACTCAACAAAGATGTCGGCCAAGAACACATGGCTCACCAGTACCTGTTGCCAAGAAAATGGCGGGTGCATCAACGATGTCCCGATGTGTCGGCCAAAGGATTTGAGGACAAAGTACCGCTCTGAGCTTGGGCCAGTGGAAGCAAAACTCAGCCCTTTGGAACGTGCAACACAACGTGGTCCAGAGGCTTGCAAGACCATCTTGCAATGCCTGATGGGAGGCTTGAACATGGATGTGAGCTGCAAGCTTGTGGTCATTGACCTGTACTGTCGAGAAGGTGATTGGTTGGATGGGTGCCTGGAACTTCAGCATCTGTGGAGGACTGAGGCCTCTCCAGAGAACCCAATGGTTGCTTATTTGACGATGTTCAAGAAGGAGCAGAAATCAGAGCGATGCGAGGAAGCAGAGACATTGATTGCTGAAGTGACGAGCAAGCTGATGTCCACAGTTTGGGAGAATCACCATGCGGCAGGTCTGGGGTAACAAAAGCGAGCCATGTTACCCCCATAAGCCATAATAATAGTAGTAGAAGGCAATAGTAGCAGTGTAAATCCATCAGACTTGATCCCTACAGGCCAGAAAGAGCCCGAGAGCACAGCAGAGGACATTGTTAGCAAGCCTGAGCTGACCCTTTTCACATGGAAAGGCCTGAAGGCAGAGCTACCCCAGATGGTCAAGGACCAGTTCAAAGATAGCAGCGCAGAGATGCGAATCAAATGGAACACCACGTTCAAGGAAGTTTTGGACAAGATTCAGAATAGCTCATCCGGGACGTTTCTTGCGGAGCGGACGGAAGCTGCTGCTCCAGGGGATGAGGAGAAAATTCTGACTACGCCAGATTTCTCAGTGCCACCTGCACCCCATAATGTGCAACAAGTCCTGGGCTTGGAGACCGTAGATGCGTCAGATTTTGTGCACACCCACACGTTCCGTAGTTGAATTATGTAGTTTCAAGACTTTGAATGTGTAGTGCCTTTTTGTAGTAAAATATACAGACGAGGACATCAACTGTAACAAAACATATAAATTAAAAACATACTCTATCAAAAATAAGATAAATGACAAAGAACTAAGACTTTAAACATCTATGTACACGCGGACTTAATGACTGACCTTTCAAGTATATAGTCAGCTTTAAAGCCAATTCTTCCCATCCAAGCCTGATGTTGGCTGAGGCTGTACACTGCCAGAGCGACCAAGACTTTGCCTGAGTTGATACTCCAGCGGGATTTCACATTGTGGATGCGGGTGGACCCACAGGTTCATGGAGAGTCCTTGGAGTTTAAGCCTACAGCCATATTTGGGTTCAACACTGGCCCTTTTGCATCAGCAGATCGATCTACGCTGGATCGTCACTCAACCATGAAGATGTTTTCCAAACCTTTTATACTATTATTATACTCAGTGAAATTTAATGTTTACTTGGGCTTTGTGGGGGGGCGCCTTGATTTTCATGGTGGCTTGGAAATTGAAAAGCTGAGGCAAACAGTCTTTGGTTTGGGAGGTGAACTCGGATGTGACTTTGGTCGCCTGGGGTGAAGAAAAGGCGCTGGTTCCTCTATGCCAAACAGTGCATGACACATTGACTGGAGAAAACATCCCGGATGTTGGCATCCAGTTCCATGAGGTCTCGCCGGCGGTCACCATGAAGGAGGCCATACCATCCTAAAAAATCTTAAATATAATGACATATTATGTTTACAGTAAGTATCCAATTTGGAATCTTGTAACCCAAGCTATCCTGTTTGTACAGTCTTTGGTTGCCCCCATGGTTAAACAAATCAGTACGGGTGCAGAAACACGAACCAAACAACCCTCATGTCAGGGAGTGGAGAAGCAGCCTTATTGCCGCATGAATATCAGCACTGGTGAGGAAACATTAATCTTCACACCGGATCCCCTTCAAGGAGAAGAAGCTTCCTCTACAGTTGTGAAGCGTGCTGCATTTGGAGCAACCCTTGTGACCCGGCTGGACCAGTTGAATTCAGACAACTTCAAAGTTGTGTGGGATTGTGTCTTGGTCAAGAACAGTAAAGCTCCTTACATTCGCCCTGTTCGTCCCCGTCTGTGGTCCCTTGGGAAGATTCAGATGGAATCCGGTAAGATGTACAAGATCGCATAGACTGGATGCTCTTTGCCTTCCAGACCAAGTTGATTTGCTCAGCCAGTGCTAGAGTGAGCGCGCCTGATGTAGGTGCTGCAGGCCGCTGAGAAACTCAGGGGCACTGATCCTGGCGGATAGGTGTTTGAATGCTCAGGTTGCCCGGTATTTCGTGATGTTTTTTGGAATATGAAACAAACAATCTGTCTTAATCTTGAGTTTACTACTATCCAAATGACATATATTGTAATTGGGCAGCCTCAATCCCAGACAGAATCGACAACACTTGCCACACCACGGGACACA